TTGTGCATTCCTCTCTGATGTCATATAAGAAACACAGAAGGGACAAGAAATGCATTTAGTGTTATGGTTTTCATGGTTGCATGCAAGACATTTTATACAGTTAGAAACATTCATGAGTGAACCCAGGATTGCAGCGAGGGGGATACTGCCATACCCTCTTTAGCAGTGTGGCACATGTGCACTGAAGAGAGCTCACTGTACATGTACCACACAGCTAAAAGGGGTGTGAACCCCACACTGGGATCCTGGATGCCAGCAAGCTCTCTGAGCTCACCAGGATGTCAGCACAGCTCTCACCTGGAGCTCTGCATGTGCCATGAGATAACTGGTTTGTCAGCATAGGGTCTGTCTGGAGTTCTGACTTCCAAGTGGCTCTGAAAACCAGTGGGTGAGCATGGCTGCTATTCATCCTTCCTCTCCTTCTGCACGCCTACCCCCAATGATGAATTTAGTGGCAAAGGAAAAGAGGAGAGGAGCAGTGGTAGGCAGCACTTGGCCCCTTCTTTCACACAGCTGAGCGCTAGCATTGCTGCTCATCCCCTTTTCCCCTGCTACTAAATTCATCTGGGTGGGGGTGGGGAGGCAGACAGGAAAGGATAAACAGAATCAGTGCTCACCTCCAAGTCTCTGGGAGCTGTTTGAAAGCTGTGACTCCAGGCAGACCCTGGACTGACCAGCTGGCGGGCAGAGTTTACAGCATATGTGAAGCTCCATCAGGAGCTGCTGTTGACATGTGGGTGAGCTCAGAGAACTCATTGTGCAAACAGCTGAAAGGCAAAAGAGGGTGTAACTGAGCTGCCACACCCTCTGATCTGCCCTTGAATATAGTCCATTATCATCTTAAAAATAATTTCAAATTATCTGATGTCAAAGGAGAGGGTCAGGAGTCATCTTTCCATTTTAATAAATGTTGTTAACCCTCATTTGTAATTACTTAGCTATTGGAACACAGTAACAAATCTTCTGAGTAACTCAGACTTATTTCTCTTTTATGTGATGAACACAATTCATAACAGACAAGTTATTTATCATCTTTCCTTTCATCGAATAGTAAGGAGTTGGGTGTAAATTGGGACAGCTCTGCTGACAGCAGTGAATGTACTTCAAGTTTCATAAACTGAGGTGCAAAGACCACTTCATAGAGTTCCACCAGGCATGCAATTCATTAAAATATTACTAGACATTAAGGCTGCCGACAGATGTTGCTTTTGTTCCACCATAAAAAAATTGATGGCGGCACAAAGCAAAAGTCAACAGACATCCATACCTTTTGTTTCACAAATGCCTAAATTTGTGGCTCTGACAAAAGGTAGCATCAGTTACTGCTACTATTTTGCAGCAGACAGCTGTTTGCTTTGAGGCAGGAGAGTTCAAGGCAGCTCAGAGCAGGTGTGCAGGATAGGACCTTAAAGCTCTGGGAGCACCCACCAGTGTTTCCCAGCTTGAAGAGGTGCCCCTGGTGATCCCAATTCAAGGCATGCCACTGTAAATGAGGGAACACCAGGTTTCCCTGATTGCAGAGGCATGCCCTGAGTCTTGTTCCACAGTATTGGGCCTCTCAGGGGCCCGACACCACTGGACAATGGGTGCCGGGACACAGCAGATCCATTTACTTTGGTGAGAACTGTTTATAGCCTATGAGAGTCAACAAAATGCAAGTCCCTATTATGGTTCCCCCATCCCAGATTCATGAGATAAGATACATCCAGCACTGAGGCTTGTTTTCATCATTTCAGTCTCTTACATCACTTCTGTGCCCAGACTTTGAATAGAGATGTAACAGAAACACTTTTATACACTACCAGAGAGCCCACAATGGTAACATTTGTGGTCAACAGAAATGTTTGCTTTCCCAATCAATACCAGGTTACCCCACACTCTTCAATGTAGCCCTTATATGGTAGTATCATCACTATTCCTATATACCTTTAACCTGCCTCTTGGTTCAAATGCTGACAGGTTATAGAAATGAATGGTAATTCTCCAAGATTCTCTCCCTTAGTACTTACCAGTGTGGAACATTTCCAGGTTGATTTTTTTTTTCTCCTTTATTTCCTTTTAAATGGGTGGAACACCAGCACAGGCCTTCTAGCTTGGCTATTTACCTCTGGATACTGGCATAACACTGACAGTGATGTTTATCATATTTTCGGCTAGTGACGGGTCAAGTATACCCCTTACATTCACACACTGTTCTAAATCAATCACAAGTACCAGAGCTTACTTAGTAACTCTTAGTAGACACCTTCCCACCCTCCAACTGCAGATGTTGCAGTCCCCTCCCTAACCTGAATCATGGATTCATTTCCTCATGCCTGGTTAGTAAGAAAAAATCATATGACAAGACTACTAAAATGAATGGTGGCATGCAACATCAACCCAAGCAACAATTTTTCTATGAGGAACAAAGTTCCCAGATTGTCCTTTTCTGTGATATAAAAGCTGGATGCCAAGAGCTGCAAGGATAAGGCCCCACGGGCAAAAGTAGTTACTGTTACTGCCTCATGGTAGTACCCACTGTAAAAAGCAGGAGAAAGCTGCTGGAAACCAGCCCATTACTTTACTTTAATTTGAAACCCTAGCCATGCTTGTCTTGTGTCACCATTTACCTTTAAAAGTTAAGGCCATAAGGAGCTCAGGTACCATACCTCTCCTGGCTGGTATAAGCTAAAGAATAATTCCCTGCCACACAGTCATACTCTGCTATTCTTGTTTTCTTGTTCCAGTGTACTGTTAGGAGAAGCTTGGCACTAGCCTGCTGGAATCATGGAGAACCAAGCTCCCTTCAGGCATGATAACTAGTTTCCATAGTACCATGGTCATCCATGTATTTTAAGAATGAATGAGAAAGAAATATGTAAGAACTAGGCTATAAATGTAATTATAAGTATTTTCAGTGAAAATCCCAGTTTGCAGCTATTTCTCACTGACCAGTTATGGAAAAGAAAACAACATGAAAGCTACCTATACATGCATCTCTTGATTTGAAATTTGGCATAAGCAGCTTAGGAAAATCCCCAAAGAAAAATGGAATAGTAGTAAAAATACTTCCTACATATGTCAGAGCAAGAAAATTAGTTTTAAAAAGGCTATATGGTGTGCATTCTGCAAAGCTGTGTAAGCCTAGTAGCTAGCAAAATTGGAAAAAAGCTGCACGAGCACTCCACTGACATGGAACTAACACTTTTGGACAATAACATTCACAATTAAAAAAAGTAAGGAGACAACAAAACTCTTGAGTTAAAAGGTTAAGTGTTGGTCTCTGTGTGCTTGATAAATGTAGAGCTAATCTAATCAGTGGTTGTAAGAGGCAATGCCATG